GGAAAGGTTGCCATACCTCCCTCTCACTCTGAGTGCTGAGCACTTTGGAAGTCTTATTCAGGGCAGTTTGAATCCCACAGGCATGAAGCATCATAGGCAAGAAGCGTCTTGGAAAGGCTGCCTAGCAGGAGCCATGACTAAATAAGGGCAAGATAAGAGGACTCTTCTTCCCAGTGGACACAGACCAGCTTGTCACCGATGGCGCCAGTGCCCTTGTTAACTGTGCATCATTCTGATGCCCTCCAAGGAAAATTTCACTCTCCCAATACAATGTGGATCCCATGATAATTGACTAAACCAACTAAATAAGAATGCAGGCTCTGTCTGAAGATGTGGGTGACTTTCCCAAGTTGAACTACATCATAAGAGAAACTTTACAATCTAGGAAATCATTAAAAGTTTTCACGCAGCTGTGGAAATTATCACAGCCATTTTCATCTGATGCCAGAAAAGTCTACACTTCCCTGTTGGTGTCTCCAAAGGCCCACTATTCCTTCAAAACTGTATTGTTTTACCTCCACATCTTGGTGTAATTTCTCTTGCTACTGATTTCTAGTTTTATTGCACTATTCTCTGAGAAGGTATAGGTAATTATACTGGTTCTTTTGTCTTCCTTTCTTCCTTCTTTTTTTTATTTTATATTATTCTACTTTATTTTTAGAGACAAGACATCTCTGTGTAACATCCCTAGGCATTCTGGAACTTGTTCTGTAGATCAGGCTGGCCTCAAACTCACAAAGATCCACCTGCCTCTTNATACTGCAACACTGCTCTGTGAGACTGCACTGTTGTCCGGGAGGAAAGACAGAGACTAGGACAGAATGCTGCATACAGCGTCTGGAAAACAGCAAATGCACCTTCAAAGATTATGTCATGACAACCTAGGCTGATAAGGGGTTTAGAGGAATGTGAAAATTCCTATAAAATGTAATATCTCTCCAAATATTTTAGATTCTAAAATGTCATAGATGGGCAATGTTCTAATGAGATTAAATCATTAACTAGATCAGATGGAAAAGTATTAATGAAGAAGGTAAATGGGGGCTTCAGATGTCTCAGTGGTTAAGAGTACTGGCTGGTCTAACTGAGAGCTTGGCTTTGATTACCAACACCACATAGATGCCCTCAATTGTCTATAATACCAGTTCTAGGGCATCTGACATCTCTGACTGTTTTCCTGGTGTATTGCACTCATGTGGGGCACATACATACATGCAGGCAAATCACCCCACAATAATAAACATGAATAAAAATTAAAAAGAAAAAATATTTAAAGTTTATGAAGATCAAGAGAAGTATTGTACAGAAATATATAAATGAGATAGACTAAACTGACAGAGAAGTAGGGGAAATATAAATCTAAAACCAAACTGAAACACACAAAGTGTAGGGATGGTAGACAGGAGAGAAGAGATTAACAGTGGAAAGGTTGCCATACCTCCCTCTCACTCTGAGTGCTGAGCACTTTGGAAGTCTTATTCAGGGCAGTTTGAATCCCACAGGCATGAAGCATCATAGGCAAGAAGCGTCTTGGAAAGGCTGCCTAGCAGGAGCCATGACTAAATAAGGGCAAGATAAGAGGACTCTTCTTCCCAGTGGACACAGACCAGCTTGTCACCGATGGCGCCAGTGCCCTTGTTAACTGTGCATCATTCTGATGCCCTCCAAGGAAAATTTCACTCTCCCAATACAATGTGGATCCCATGATAATTGACTAAACCAACTAAATAAGAATGCAGGCTCTGTCTGAAGATGTGGGTGACTTTCCCAAGTTGAACTACATCATAAGAGAAACTTTACAATCTAGGAAATCATTAAAAGTTTTCACGCAGCTGTGGAAATTATCACAGCCATTTTCATCTGATGCCAGAAAAGTCTACACTTCCCTGTTGGTGTCTCCAAAGGCCCACTATTCCTTCAAAACTGTATTGTTTTACCTCCACATCTTGGTGTAATTTCTCTTGCTACTGATTTCTAGTTTTATTGCACTATTCTCTGAGAAGGTATAGGTAATTATACTGGTTCTTTTGTCTTCCTTTCTTCCTTCTTTTTTTTATTTTATATTATTCTACTTTATTTTTAGAGACAAGACATCTCTGTGTAACATCCCTAGGCATTCTG